GAATAAAACCAGATAAAAAGAAACAATCATCTGTGAAACCAACAGAAACAGCTTCATTAAGATCATGAAAGCTCAGACTGAGAACAGCTGAAAGAAGCTGTTAGCATGTTAGCATGTTAGCATATACAGCCAATCATAATTTCTTCTGCCAGAGGGAAGAAGCTGGAATATGTTTTTTTTTCCAGTAGCCAGAAGAGTAATGGTTTATTCTGGATTTATAATTAAGAAACCTCTCAGAGACAGTCTCTCTCTGGTCTCTCTCTCGGGTCTCTCTCTCTCGGGTCTCTCTCTCGGGTCTCTCTCTCGGGTCTCTCTCTCGGGTCTCTCTCTCTGGTCTCTCTCTCTGGTCTCTCTCTCGGGTCTCTCTCTCGGGTCTCTCTCTCGGGTCTCTCTCTCGGGTCTCTCTCTCTGGTCTCTCTCTCTGGTCTCTCTCTCTGGTCTCTCTCTCGGGTCTCTCTCTTTAGTCTCTCTCTCTGAGTCAGTCCAATGTGTCAGAGAAGAAAGAGCTTCATAATCTCTGCCTCAGGCTAAAGTAACCGCTGCAGAACGGATTATCACTGCTTCATTCAAAAGCTTCTCATCAAGTCCTCTCTGAGCCTGAGCCTGAGCCTGAGTCTGAGCCTGAGCCTGAGCCTGAGTCTGAGCCTGAGCCTGAGCCTGAGCCTGAGCCTGAGCCTGAGTCTGAGCCTGAGCCTGAGTCTGAGCCTGAGCCTGAGTCTGAGCCTGAGCCTGAGCCTGAGCCTGAGCCTGAGCCTGAGTCTGAGCCTGAGCCTGAGCCTGAGCCTGAGCCTGAGTCTGAGTCTGAGTCTGAGTCTGAGCCTGCTTTTCTACATTTATAAACAGTGATAAACTCTACACATAATCACAAAGCATTGTGGGTAATGTAGTCCTTCTTACACTGTAATAAACATGAGTCATGCAACTGTATGTGCCTGATCATGTGACCAGAGCCGCAGATAACGACTGTCGGGAACATTAATAATAAACTCAGGATTAAGATGAAGAGATCCTCTGTTCGACCCACAGCGGGGAAATTCCTGTGTTGCATCGCCATTTACAGAACAGTAGTGACAGAGGCCAGCACTAGTGGGAGTAAAACTATGGGCACAGTGTAAAACCGTTTTAGAACCAGCAACAGGCATTTGGATTACAGAAGCATTTGTAAAGTTAGGGACCCCAGCTTTAAAATGCTGGGGTCCAGCAAGACCAGAGAGAGACCAGAGAGAGAGATCAGAGAGAGACCAGAGAGAGAGATCAGAGAGAGACCAGAGAGAGAGATCAGAGAGAGACCAGAGAGAGACCAGAGAGAGACCAGAGAGAGAGATCAGAGAGAGACCAGAGAGAAACCAGAGAGAGAGATCAGAGAGAGACCAGAGAGAGACCAGAGAGAGACCAGAGAGAGAGATCAGAGAGAGACCAGAGAGAGACCAGAGAGAGATCAGAGAGAGACCAGAGAGAAACCAGAGAGAGAGATCAGAGAGAGACCAGAGAGAGACCAGAGAGAGATCAGAGAGAGACCAGAGAGAGAGATCAGAGAGAATATACATAAATGAAAGCAATAAGGCTTTGATCCTCCTGTTAGTATTAGATAGCAATATGGCCTACGTGCAGGACTCTACAAGGACTCTGATTATTTTGACTCTGATGTGACTGTCTCTTTGTGACACGTATGTCTTTCCATGTGTGACGTGACAATGACTATATAAACTGTGTACTGACTTTATTGTCTGTCTGGGAGAAAGAAACAATTGAAACCACTGGAACTTGAGAGAAACATAAATAAACTTCCAGAGTTTGGCGCCCCACGATCCGTCTCTGTCTGCTGAATCCCTGACACTCCCTTTCTCTTTGGAACTTTTTTAGCTTGTTTTAATCCTGTACTTGTCTGATGCACACACTGGGGACACATGTTTTAATCTCCTGGTCTCTCCTGGTCCCTCTCTCTCCCGGTCACTCCTGGTCTCTCCTGGTCCCTCTCTCTCCCGGTCACTCCTGGTCTCTCCTGGTCCCTCTCTCTCATGGTCACTCCTGGTCTCTCCTGGTCCCTCTCTCTCCCGGTCACTCCTGGTCTCTCCTGGTCCCTCTCTCTCATGGTCACTCCTGGTCTCTCCTGGTCCCTCTCTCTCATGGTCACTCCTGGTCTCTCCTGGTGCCTCTCTCTCCCGGTCACTCCTGGTCCCTCTCTCTCCCGGTCACTCCTGGTCTCTCCTGGTCCCTCTCTCTCCCGGTCACTCCTGGTCCCTCTCTCTCCCGGTCACTCCTGGTCTCTCCTGGTCCCTCTCTCTCATGGTCCCTCTCACTCCTGGTCTCTCCTGGTCACTCCTGGTCCCTCCTGATCTCTCCTGGTCCCTCCTGGTCTCTCCTGGTCTCTCCTGGTCTCTCGTGGTCTCTCCTGGTCCCTCTCTCTCCTGGTCACTCCTGGTCACTCCTGGTCTCTCCTGGTCACTCCTGGTCCCTCCTGGTCTCTCCTGGTCCCTCCTGGTCCCTCCTGGTCACTCACCTCCAGAGTCTGCCGTTGCTGGTACATGATGTCGGTGTCGTGCGTGAGCCCGGTGCTGCTGACGCTCAGGTGGGAGACGTTCTGCGGGAGGCTCTGCAGGTAAACCGGGGACACCATCTGCTGCATCATGGGCTGCTGCATCATGGGCTGCTGCATGACCACGTACTGCGGCTGCACGGCGGTCTGCACGTACTGCGGCTGCACGGCGGTCTGCATGGCCCCCTGCATGGGCACCAGGTACCGGAAGTCATACGACCCGTTCACGTTGTACGGTAACGTGGACAGCTGCCCCGTGGAGATCACCGTGGGCTCGGGCTGCGAAGCGACGCTCAGAGTCCGGTAGGTGGTGGTTGTGGGCTCCGGGGATCCCACGCTCAGAGTCCGGTACGTGGCGTTGGAGAGCTCCGGGGAACCGATGCTCACGGTCCGGTAGGTGGGAGCGGTGAGGTCCGGGGAGTTGACGTTCACGGCCCGGTAGGTGGTGGAGGACTGCTCCGCGGGCATGGTGTGGTACGTGGTGGTGGTGGTCTTACGGCTGGACTGGACCGAGGACATGGTGCAGACTGGGGCCAAAACAAACAAAACAAACGCAGGAAAAAGTTATAAAAAGTTTTCCTCGCGCGTCGTTAGAACGGGATTGACGCAGACCGACGCAGACTGACGCAGACGGACGCAGACGCAGCAGGAGGCAGAGAGGCAGGAGGAAGAGCGAAGTCCTGGAGGAGGCGCCCTGGGTGTGCTCCGCATTATGCACATAGTTTAGTACGGGAGGCACGAGAGGAGGGTAGGGAGGAGGGCCGGGAGGGGCCGAGAGGGGCCGAGCGGGTCCGACCGGTTCAAGAGTTCAGGCGCAGAGGCCGCTAGAGGGCAGTCCACAGCAGGACTCCGGGATCTATGAAACCAGAGCAGCTCAAACCAATGGCTTTCCTGTAAATTATATCATGCATTCTTATTTTGAACGTCCATCCCGCTCACTGCACTCTGACCGCTTGATTGACAGCTGCTATCCCCTCAGTATGACGCCCAGACGCGCGATGGTCACGTGACTGCAAAAGAGCCATAGAATTAAATACAAAAGTTTCATTTTTACATTCAATTTTTTTTATTTTCATTTTCTTACCATAACTCACCTTTACTAGAGCAAATACCTCCATCCATCCATTTTCTTCCCCTTAATCCATTTCTGGGTCGGGGGGGTGGCAGTCAGAGCTGCACCCAGAGCAAAGACCTGTGAACTTGGAATACAGTAAAAACAGTTGGTTGAAAGGCTACCAAATGCTAACTGCTAGTAAGTAAACAGTGTGTTGCTATGGTAACTACGGTAGCCTGGTAACTAACTGCTCACGTTTGAAAAATAAAAGATGGTTTTGTTGAAGATTTCTTGAAGATAATGGCGTAGACCTAAACTACATACAGAGACAGAAAAAGTGCATTTGACCCATTTGATTACTTACTTACTTACCCATCCATCTCCAGCTGTGGACGCTCTTGGTCAGGACCAGAGCTGCAGGATTTAATAGTTTATACATAATTTTTGTGCTAGAGGAAACCCGGAGGAAATCCTGCTGCTGTGACTACCACCACAAATACTGCTAATACTGCTGCGGAAATGTTTATGAAGCAGAATCCTGTGTGTCCAAAATGCTCCATGTTTAAAATAAATGTTTTTGTAGCAGATGAGAGAGATGACGGTTTCTAATGGTGCTTATGGTCCCATTTACCATTAGGCCATCAGCTTTTTACTAACGGGATTTTCAGTAACATGGAAACACAATCTCATGACAAACTGGAAAAACAAGGTGATAAACCTGAGTCATTATATAAACAAATACTAATCATCTAGTTACAACAAGTATTTTCAAGGTTACAAAGATAATGATCTATATAAAGATGACTAATAACTGTAACTTTTCTGTGATTGCGTTGTAAGTAACCGTTAGCTGATGTTGTATATTTTAACTATGCAGATGTGAATATTGGCTGACCCTGATTTGAACTGTCTTTTCCTAAAGCAAAAAGACCTGGTTTCCCCATGTTCCTTTGTTAGTCCAAAGTGCATGGGTGAGTTAATGATAGGTAATCTGGGGGGGGATTCTGCTAATCCTGAAGAAGGAGGGGGACCCAGAGAGCCTTCTGCCTTATCTCAAAGAAGTAATAAATTTGGGGAGTGGTAGTGTGTGTGAATGATTCTGTTTAAGGTACGGCAGACAGAGGGGAAATGATGGAAGAGGCCGGACCCAAGTCCTGCCTGATACGACACGCCCCCTGCTCCCTGAACATCGACTGATAATGCTCTGGCTTGGGAAGAGACAGAAGGATCAGCCGAGGGCCAGAGAAAGGGACATATTAGTTTTAGGAGCACTTTTTGTTGAATATTCTGTATCTGATTGTAAAAATAATTAAATGCAGATGTTAAACGTGGAGATCTCTTGTCTCGCTCTTGCATCGACTTTGGACACGTCAGTCAAAGGGAATTATTGACTTCACTGAGATACGCCCAGAATGGTCGGGATTCCATAGATTGCAGCTGCACATTACTTTCTGCACATTTTAAACATTTTTTGATAGTTTTTTTGCCACACACTTATCACCCACTGGTACAAAAATTCCACCTCCAGGCTCTTTCTGAGTGGAGTTTGCATGTGTCTGAGTAGGTGTCCTCCATGTGCTCCGGTTTACTTTAAAACATGTTCAATAGGCTTGTCACAGAGGAGTCTCTGAGGACTTCTCTGAAGGAGATTCTGAAAACTCAGTAGGACTTTCCTGGTTAAATAAAGGCGACTCAGTAAACTCAGGAGTTTGATAGTTATATTTTAGCTGCACCTTTTTAGATTAGCTTAAACATATAAGATGTTAACATATTTTGTCATCGTTGTTATTGCATTGTCTCTAGTTCGTTAGCATTATGCCTACTTACCACAATTAGTTCATTTATTATCCTGTAATACTGAGGAGATTCTCTCTCTGTGGAAACAAGACTTTACATACACAAGATGGCCGCCGCACTTTCTCCTGTGTTTGCTCTATCATTAAAATAAACATAAACACGGTTTAAGGCCAATAAATAGTTATATCACAGAACAATGTTTAAAACTTGGACTCTAGTATAATATGGTTTAATACTGTAAGCATTAAAAGTCAAATTTAATTTAAGCTTTTTATGGTTAAATAACATAGTCTCGCCCAAAGCCTACTCTCGCGAGATCAGACGAGGTCCACTCCTTCTCGGGTCATTTTGAGGAAGCATCGTCTTTTATTCATCTCCAAAACAAGGATGGCCGCTTCCCCACGTCTCTGTTCATCTACACCCTCGTTCACGGCCGACATCGACGGGTCCCGGAGGCGTGGAAAGCCGCTTTAGAGCTGTTTCTCTGGCCGCTGGTAAGACCTTTCTCCGTCCGTATGCTCCATACGTCTCGCTGCGGCTGTGGCACCAAACCGCGTGTTAAATGTTCGCTATTGTACAACTTCTTCGTTTTTCTGATGTGTAAAACTTGTAATAACCGCGGGATATCGTTGTATTTGCCTAACCTTATCTGTACTCTCGAATTCGGCATGAACAGTTATGAGTTAGGGGCACGATTTATTCAGATATTTGCTCTTGTTGTCCCCGTTTTGTGGCTATAGTAAGTGACACGCAGCCACAGACGGGATCGTATGACACTCATGATTGGTTTATTTAATTCAGAATTAAAACAGAGCAAAGCTTAATACGTGCTTCCACATTCGCTCTAAACGTGTCAGCCTTAACAACATACATAGGTGTGTGTATGGCCATGTTGTGCAGAGTTATAGCAGGGGTCTGGTTCATGTTGTGGTGAAGTGAAGCCATTCATTCAGATTCTAACCAGCTTTGACATTATTACACACATGGTACGACTCAATACGTTATGTAACACCTACTGCGACCAGTGTGCTGCAGGATTTGATCAGTATTGACTGTTATTGGCATTTAGCCTGTTTGTTGTGCAGCTTCCATTGCAGCGGTGCATGACGTAATGGCCCTGATCTGGTCTACGTCATCCTCTGGTTTGAGCCGGATCTAGCCTGCTACTATTATAGCACAATATACATGTTTCTATGGTCTATTTTCCCTGTGTTTCTGTGGCACAGTAATAAACAACTTGTGATTAAATGCAATGCTGTTTTAAGGTCACACAACAAATAATGAAATGAGACATAACTGACTTTTTATTATCTTTATTGGGAAGCGTCATGTGACGAATTGTGTTGAATAGAAACATTGAGAACTTAGAGATGTTTACATAACACTCATAGAAATAAGGAGTAATAAAAGAAAGCAGAGGGGGTAATCTTACTGATTGTCCTCAGGGTGGAGAGAGTGTCAGTGTACATGGTGCATGTGTGTTTGATGGTTTGTGTGCGTCTGTGAAGGTCACTGTTATTGCTGGTTATTGCCAATGAATAAAGACCGGACCATGTGGGACAGATATAACAAGATTTTATTGGTCACGCACATGGTTCTTGTTTTACATTATGATGTGTTTCTGTTTTAGTTGGTTTGGATTAATTTGTTTCATATTGTTACCCAGTACTAGATTATATGGGCCTTTTTTCCACCGACTCTTCTTGGCTCTACCCTTCTCTACCCTACTCTACCTTTCCTTACTCTACAGTACCTTACTCTACTCTACTCTACCCTACTCTACTCTACTCTACTCTACCCTACTCTACCCTACTCTACTCTACTCTACTCTACTCTACTCTACTCTACTCTACTCTACCTTTCCTTACTCCACTCTATCCTACTCTACAGTACCTTACTCTACCATACTCTACTCTACTCTACCCTTCCTTACTCTACTCTATCCTACTCTACAGTACCTTACTCTACCATACTCTACTCTACTCTACCCTTCCTTACACTACTCTATCCTACTCTACAGTACCTTACTCTACCATACTCTACTCTACTCTACCCTTCCTTACTCTACTCTACTCTACAGTACCTTACTCTACCATACTCTACTCTACTCTACCCTTCCTTACTCTACTCTACTCTACTCTACAGTACCTTACTCTACCCTACTCTACCTTTCCTTACTCTACTCTATCCTACTCTACAGTACCTTACCCTACCCTACTCTACTCTACTCTACTCTACCCTACCCTACTCTACTGTACTCTACTCTACTCTGATTGAGAGTATTTCCTCTGGTCCTGTGTAACCAGTACCAGGTGCTTCTTTAGTCCCTCATGGTCCTGGTTCTATCCAGGCCGAGCTGGTACTAAAGTGTTCTAACTGACAGTGATTGGCCAGAGTTCTGCTGGTAGCCATGGTTACCAAGTAGTTTCCCCGGATACTGGTTTGTTGTGGGTAGTTTTCTAGGATACAGTACCAGCGTAGGGTCTCTTCTATTTGATGAAGTGGTTTCCTGTCTGTATGTTTTTGTAGTGACTTCTTCTCTTTTCTCGCTGCTCTCTCAGTTCCATCTGCTCCTCTGAGCTCCACGATGACAGACCGTCAGGCGTAACCACGGCGCCCGCTGACTCTTCACACCACAACAACACGGTACCAGCTTCAGAACAGAACCATCACTTCCTGTTTGCTCCGAGTAACATCTGTCGTGTCCACAGTCTCACCGCGCTGCTCCGACCCGGACGACATGGCGGGATCTGGAGATTATCCTGGTACGTTCCTGCTTTAGGGTTCTAGTCTCTCTCTCTGGTCTCTCTCTGGTCTCTATCTGGTCTCTCACTGGTCTCTCTCTCTGGTCTCTCACTGGTCTCTCACTGGTCTCTCTCTCTGGTCTCTCACTGGTCTCTCTCTCTGGTCACTCTCTCTGGTCTCTCTCTCTGGTCTCTCTCTCTGGTCTCTCTCTGGTCTCTCTCTGGTCTCTCTCTCTGGTCTCTCTCTCTGGTCTCTCTCTCTGGTCTCTCTCTCTGGTCTCTCTCTGGTCTCTCTCTGGTCCCTGGATCCCAGACTGTGACGTGTTTTGCTCCCCTCTCTCTCCTCAGCTCTCGAGGGCTCTGGGATCGGGGGGATGAAGCTTCCCATCGGGATGACGAGACGCGCCCTGAGCTACGACGATAACTTGGAGGCGCCGATGTCCACGCCGCCGCACGACATCAGCATCAACAACCTGTGGAGGCGCCCGGTCATCCCCGACCGACGGTTCACTCAGCTCACAGAGGTGATTACCTCTGGTCTCTCTCTGGTCTCTCTCTCTGGTCTCTCTCTCTGGTCTCTCTCTGGTCTCTCTCTGGTCTCTCTCTCTGGTCTCTCTCTCTGGTCTCTCTCTCTGGTCTCTCTCTGGTCTCTCTCTGGTCTCTCTCTCTGGTCTCTCTCTCTGGTCTCTCTCTGGTCTCTCTCTCTGGTCTCTCTCTCTGGTCTCTCTCTGGTCTCTCTCTCTGGTCTCTCTCTCTGGTCTCTCTGGTCTCTCTCTCTGGTCTCTCTCTCTGGTCTCTCTCTCTGGTCTCTCTCTGGTCTCTCCCTCTAGTCTCCCCCTGGTCTCAGTGCACAAAAACATGGTGGTTTTTTAGTAATTGTATGTTTCAATAATAAATGAGCTGATATGAAAATATGGATGTGAAATATTTATAAAACTAGTTATTTCCCGGAAGCAAATGAACAATGTTCTGGAGCAAATATCTGATCTCTTCAGGAGGACGAAAGCAAAGCAGCGATCCGCTCTGCAGTGAGCAGCGCCCCCAACAGGCCACCGCCTGTAGTGAAGACCAAAGCCTCCTCTTCAATTATGAACTCCATCATCACAAGTAAGTCTCTCTCTCTCTCTGGTCTCTCTCTGGTCTCTCTCTCTCTCTGGTCTCTCTCTGGTCTCTCTCTCTCTCTCTCTGGTCTCTCTCTCTCTCTGGTCTCTCTCTCTCTGGTCTCTCTCTGGTCTCTCTCTCTGGTCTCTCTCTTTGGTCTCTCTGGTCTCTCTCTGGTCTCTCACTCTGGTCTCACTCTGGTCTCTCTCTCTGGTCTCTCTCTCTGGTCTCTCACTCTGGTCTCCCTCTGGTCTCACTCTGGTCTCTCTCTGGTCTCACTCTGGTCTCTCTCTGGTCTCTCTCTGGTCTCACTCTGGTCTCTCTCTCTGGTCTCTCTCTGGTCTCACTCTGGTCTCTCTCTCTGGTCTCTCTCTGGTCTCTCACTCTGGTCTCCCTCTGGTCTCTCTCTATGGTCTCTCTCTCTGGTCTCTTACTCTGGTATCTCTCTGGTCTCTTACTCTGGTCTCACTCTGGTCTCACTCTCTGGTCTCTCACTCTGGTCTCCCTCTGGTCTCTCTCTGGTCTCATTCTGGTCTCTCTCTCTGGTCTCTCTCTGGTCTCTCTGGTCTCCCTCTGGTCTCTCTCTATGGTCTCTCACTCTGGTCTCTCTCTGGTCTTTCACTCTGGTCTCTCTCTGGTCTCTCTCTGGTCTCTCTCTGGTCTCCCTCTGGTCTCTCTCTGGTCTCTCTCTGGTCTCTCTCTGGTCTCTCTCTGGTCTCCCTCTGGTCTCCCTCTGGTCTCTCTCTGGTCTCTCTCTGGTCTCTCTCTGGTCTCTCTGGTCTCCTCTGGTCTCTCTCTGGTCTCTCTCTGGTCTCTCTCTGGTCTCTCTCTGGTCTCTCTCTGGTCTCTCTCTGGTCTCTCTCTGGTCTCTCTCTGGTCTCTCTCTGGTCTCTCTCTCTCTCTCTGGTCTCTCTCTGGTCTCTCTCTGGTCTCACTCTGGTCTCTCTCTCTGGTCTCTCTCTGGTCTCTCTCTGGTCTCTCTCTGGTCTCTCTCTCTGGTCTCTCTCTGGTCTCTCTCTGGTCTCTCTCTCTGGTCTCTCTCTGGTCTCTCTCTCTGGTCTCTCTCTGGTCTCTCTCTGCTCTCTCTCTGGTCTCTCTCTCTGGTCTCTCTCTGGTCTCTCTCTCTGGTCTCTCTCTGGTCTCTCTCTGGTCTCTCTCTGGTCTCTCTCTGGTCTCCCTCTGGTCTCACTCTGGTCTCTCTCCTCAGAACACACTCATGACAGTATGTCTAAGTTCGAGCAGAGAGCAGGACTCAGTGACACTGGATACACTCCACACAAAGGTCTGACCGCGGACGAGACCCGGCATCACCACCGCCTGCCAGAGTCCCTGCAGGTACACACACACACACACACACACAGACACACACACACACACACACATACACATACACATACACATACACATACACATACACAGGCACACACAGACTCACACGCACATACACACACACACCGCACATAACACACACACACAGACACACACACACACACAGACTCACACACACCGCACATAACACACACACACAGACACACACACAGGCACACAGACACACACACACACACACAGACACACACACTGTCACAGACACACACACACACAGTCTATAATAATAACAATGCATCTATAATCAGTCTATGGACAATGCTAAAGTTTCATACTGCTTTTCAAATAAACTGTAAATCTAAATATGATCTTAATCTAGTCTGAGTCACTTAAAACGGACTTTAAAAAGTGAAATCACCAAACGACAAGACCCAGAGCTGGGGACGTTGGTCTGAGTCTAACTTTCTTTTCCAGAAGCTCCAGATTCAGACTCTGGAGAACAGAGACGAGAAACAGCCTTCATCTGCTCAGTCCACTCCATCCACCACTCCACACAGCTCCCCACGGCACCAGCGACGGTGAAGACCCAGGACTGAGGCTGTAGACCCAGGACTGAGGCTGTAGACCCAGGACTGAGGCTGTAGACCCAGGACTGAGGCCGTAGACCCAGGACTGAGGCTGTAGACCCAGGACTGAGGCTGTAGACCCAGGACTGAGGCCGTAGACCCAGGACTGAGGCCGTAGACCCAGGACTGAGGCCGTAGACCCAGGACTGAGGCCGTAGAGCCAGGACTGAGGCCGTAGAGCCAGGACTGAGGCCGTAGAGCCAGGACTGAGGCCGTAGAGCCAGGACTGAGGCCGTAGAGCCAGGACTGAGGCCGTAGAGCCAGGACTGAGGCCGTAGAGCCAGGACTGAGGCCGTAGAGCCAGGACTGAGGCCGTAGAGCCAGGACTGAGGCCGTAGAGCCAGGACTGAGGCCGTAGAGCCAGGACTGAGGCCGTAGAGCCAGGACTGAGGCCGTAGAGCCAGGACTGAGGCCGTAGAGCCAGGACTGAGGCCGTAGAGCCAGGACTGAGGCCGTAGAGCCAGGACTGAGGCCGTAGAGCCAGGACTGAGGCCGTAGAGCCAGGACTGAGGCCGTAGAGCCAGGACTGAGCGAGGCCGGCGAGGCGTAGAGCCAGGACTGAGGCCGTAGAGCCAGGACTGAGGCCGTAGAGCCAGGACTGAGGCCGTAGAGCCAGGACTGAGGCCGTAGAGCCAGGACTGAGGCCGTAGAGCCAGGACTGAGGCCGTAGAGCCAGGACTGAGGCCGTAGAGCCAGGACTGAGGCCGTAGAGCCAGGACTGAGGCCGTAGAAGCCAGGACTGAGGCCGTAGAGCCAGGACTGAGGCCGTAGAGCCAGGACTGAGGCCGTAGAGCCAGGACTGAGGCCGTAGAGCCAGGACTGAGGCCGTAGAGCCAGGACTGAGGCCGTAGAGCCAGGACTGAGGCCGTAGAGCCAGGACTGAGGCCGTAGACAGAGCTGGCAGACAGGACTGAGGCCGTAGAGCCAGGACTGAGGCCGTAGAGCCAGGACTGAGGCCGTAGAGCCAGGACTGAGGCCGTAGAGCCAGGACTGAGGCCGTAGAGCCAGGACTGAGGCCGTAGAGCCAGGACTGAGGCCGTAGAGCCAGGACTGAGGCCGTAGAGCCAGGACTGAGGCCGTAGAGCCAGGACTGAGGCCGTAGAGCCAGGACTGAGGCCGTAGAGCCAGGACTGAGGCCGTAGAGCCAGGACTGAGGCCGTAGAGCCAGGACTGAGGCCGTAGAGCCAGGACTGAGGCCGTAGAGCCAGGACTGAGGCCGTAGAGCCAGGACTGAGGCCGTAGAGCCAGGACTGAGGCCGTAGAGCCAGGACTGAGGCCGTAGAGCCAGGATCCTGAGGCCGTAGAGCCAGGACTGAGGCCGTAGAGCCAGGACTGAGGCCGTAGAGCCAGGACAGAGGCCGTAGAGCCAGGACAGAGGCCGTAGACCCAGGACTCAGGCTGTATAGACCCAGGACTGAGGCTGTATAGACCCAGGACTGAGGCTGTATAGACCCAGGACTGAGGCTGTATAGACCCAGTACTGAGGCTGTATAGACCCAGGACTGAGGCCGTAGACCCAGTACTGAGGCTGTATAGACCCAGGACTGAGGCTGTATAGACCCAGTACTGAGGCTGTATAGACCCAGTACTGAGGCCGTAGACCCAGGACTGAGGCCGTAGACCCAGTACTGAGGCCGTAGACCCAGTACTGAGGCCGTAGACCCAGTACTGAGGCCGTAGACCCAGTACTGAGGCCGTAGACCCAGTACTGAGGCCGTAGACCCAGTACTGAGGCTGTGTGTGTCCAGGGGCTGGTTCCAGAGTGTGGGGTCTGAGGCCAGTCTGACCTCCAGTTCCAGTTCCAGTGTGGACCTGAGTTCTGGGGACTCTGCGGTGGAGCGATGGGGCGTGTTTGGGCCGCGACCCGTGGTCCACAAGTCCACGTCTGATGTGGGCGCGGCCGCTGAGGCCACTGCAGGTAAACATCACATCCTCACACACACCAGGTGAAGACACACCAGGTGAAGACACACCAGGTGAAGACACACCAGGTGAAGACGGAGAAACTAAGTCTAATATTCAGAGCGAGACTGTCGTCATGTGAATATAAGTGAAGTCTTGCTCATTCCAGTCCAGTTCATTACAGTTGTTTCCATAAAAAAGATTGTAATTCCACCTTTCTCCACTAGAGGGCGCTGGTGCTTTCTCTTTGTCCATGTTTAGTCATGTCTATCTCCGCCGTTTTAAATAATGGGCCAAAAATAGTGCTCTACTGGAGCTATCCAAAATGACTACAGTTAGTAACTGTAGTTAGTAACTGTAGTTAGTAACTGTAGTTAGTAACTGTAGTTACTACAGTTAGTAACTGTAGTTAGTAACTGTAGTCACTACAGTTACTAACTACAGTTAGTAACTGTAGTAACTACAGTTACTAACTGTAGTAACTGTAGTTACTACCAGTTAGTAACTGTAGTTAGTAACTGTAGTCACTACAGTTACTAACTACAGTTACTAACTGTAGTAACTACAGTTAGTAACTGTAGTTACTACAGTTAGTAACTGTAGTTAGTAACTGTAGTTACTACAGTTAGTAACTGTAGTTACTACAGTTAGTAACTGTAGTTACTACAGTTAGTAACTGTAGTTACTACAGTTAGTAACTACAGTTACTAACTGTAGTTAGTAGTAACTGTAGTGACTACAGTTACTAACTGTAGTCACTACAGTTAGTAACTACAGTTACTAACTGTAGTTAGTAGTAACTGTAGTGACTACAGTTACTAACTGTAGTCACTACAGTTAGTAACTACAGTTACTAACTGTAGTTAGTAGTAACTGTAGTGACTACAGTTACTAACTGTAGTCACTACAGTTACTAACTACAGTTACTAACTGTAGTCACTACAGTTACTAACTACAGTTACTAACTGTAGTAACTACAGTTACTAACTGTAGTAACTACAGTTACTAACTGTAGTCACAGTGAGTGCAGTGAGGTGGTGTTTGGTTCCAGGCCCAGGAGGTTATTGACTCTGGACTCCACCTTCAGACTTTGTTAGATTCAACATAGTTTTGGAACAGTTTGGGGAGAAGGAGGTATCACAGGAGGAGGTGGGGGAGGAGAAGGAGGTATCACAGGAGGAGGTGGGGGAGGAGAAGGAGGTATCACAGGAGGAGGTGGGGGAGGAGAAGGAGGTATCACAGGAGGAGGTGGGGGAGGAGAAGGAGGTATCACAGGAGGAGGTGGGGGAGGAGAAGGAGGTATCACAGGAGGAGGTGGGGGAGGAGAAGGAGGTATCACAGGAGGAGGTGGGGGGGGGAGGAAGGAGGTATCACAGGAGGAGGTGGGGGAGGAGAAGGAGGTATCACAGGAGGAGGGGGGGAGAAGGAGGTATCACAGAGGATGGGAGAAGGAGGTATCACAGGAGGAGGTGGGGGAGAAGGAGGTATCACAGGAGGAGGTGGGGGGAGAAGGAGGTATCACAGGAGGAGGTGGGGGAGGAGAAGGAGGTATCACAGGAGGAGGTGGGGGAGGAGAAGGAGGTATCACAGGAGGAGGTGGGGGAGAGGAGGTATCACAGGAGGAGGAGGGGGGGAGAAGGAGGTATCACAGGAGGAGGTGGGGGAGGAGAAGGAGGTATCACAGGAGGAGGTGGGGGAGAAGGAGGTATCACAGGAGGAGGTGGGGGAGGAGAAGGAGGTATCACAGGAGGAGGTGGGGGAGGAGAAGGAGGTATCACAGGAGGAGGTGGGGGAGAAGGAGGTATCACAGGAGGAGGTGGGGGAGAAGGAGGTATCACAGGAGGAGGTGGGGGAGAAGGAGGTATCACAGGAGGAGGTGGGGGAGAAGGAGGTATCACAGGAGGAGGTGGGGGAGGAGAAGGAGGTATCACAGGAGGAGGTGGGGGAGAAGGAGGTATCACAGGAGGAGGTGGGGGAGGAGAAGGAGGTATCACAGGAGGAGGTGGGGGAGGATGATGAGTAGCACAGGGACTGGACTCCTGCTGGGACTCTGAGGAGCACAGGGACTGGACTCCTGCTGGGACTCTGAGGAGCACAGGGACTGGCCTCCTGCTGGGACTCTGAGGAGCACAGGGACGGGCCTCCTGCTGGGACTCTGAGGAGCACAGGGACTGGTCTCCTGCTGGGGCTCTGAGGAGCACAGGGACTGGTCTCCTGCTGGGACTCATGACAGTTGTTTGTGTTTTGAAAGTCAGGTCCCTGAGCTTTAACCCCTCGCTCTCTTTTTTCCCAGCAGGCTTTGCTCTGCAGTCGTACCGCGGGGCGCAGAAGCCGAGCCCGATGGAGGTGATGAAGTCCCAGGCCACACGCCTCGCCGACCCCACCCCCCAGCAGCTCAACCCCCCCAAGCTGGAGATCCCCACCGTGGACCCCCGCAAGCAGGGTTCCAGGCCCCACAAGCTCAAGCACCGCGACATGAACATCCTCACGCCGTCTGGGTTCTGACCTCACGCCGTCTGGGTTCTGACCTCACGCCGTCTGGGTTCTGACCTCACGCCGTCTGGGTGTTCTGACCTCAGGCCGTCTGGGTTCTGACCTCACGCCGTCTGGGTTCTGACCTCACAAACATCACAGGCGTCATAACAAGTCGTCCGTAGAGTCCGGGAGAGAGGAGCAGATCTGAAAATATGGCATCACCAACTTCTCACAGACTGTCGGAGGGAGTGGACATTGTTTTTTTTGCTGCCGTGTGCTGATGGGAAGTGCTCAGAGGCGAAGTTTGGAGGCATTAGATCAACACAGATTCCCTTCACTGCATAAACAACACAAAGTAGGTCAATGTGTCTGATGTTTGTGAATTATTATTATTGTTATTTATCGAACCACTGAGAGTCCTGGGAGTCCTGCTGTGACATGTTTTTAGTGCTGCTAAAACCGGAGCACCTGGAGGACACCTACACAGACACATGCAAACTCATAAAGGCCCTGTGTGGAGGTGGAATCGAACCCAGGACCTTCTGCTGAGAGCTGACCAGCACTGTTCCTCATCCGTCACAGACCTGGAGCTGTTTTTAGATCCATCCACGCTGATATCTGGGACTGCAGCTCCGCCCACTTCGTCCTGCAACAGTGTGACGTCACTATGACATCACTATGACATCACACAAACAAAAGTATCGCCCATAAATTAGTGAAATGAGGCCGAGATCATAAAAACGACTCTATTTTCATCTTTTTCTGATCCGGTCAAAGTCTCTAAAAAGAAAAATACTAACAAGTCAAATGAGTCTGTGGTTGTCTGTGTCTGTGTCTGTGTGTGTCTGTCTGTGTCTGTGTCTGTGTCTGTGTCTGTGTATGATCCAGACTGAAGTCCATCTGTGATTATGGACCTTAGCTTTGTTCAAGACTGTTTTCTCCCTGTTAGGGTCGAGTCCCGTCTCTGAAGCCACTGTTGGTGTCCGTGGCTTCGAACTACAGACCTCTTCTTTCTGTCGTTGACGTTAGCTTGGTCCGTTGTAGCGTCGTTTACCGTCGTTACTTCATCAGACGAGTTTTGGACCAAAGTCACAAACTGGAAACGGGAACTCGATCTTTTTCAGTTTTTTCCGTTTGATCTCGTTCTTTGGAGAATCTCGTCAGAATCTGTAGAAGAAGTCGACAGAAGCTCGAGCTCAAACTAGAATAACATTAATGAAAACATAATAATAAACAGATCCTTAAGGCTCAGACGGTTCTTTCAATGAGACTAAAGTGAGAAGAAGTGAGTTCTGCTTCAGGACCAGGACCAGGACCAGGACCAGGACCAGGGCCAGGACCAGGACCAGGGCCAGGACCAGGACCAGGGCCAGGACCAGGACCAGGGCCAGGACCAGGACCAGGACCTTGGAGAATCTCACAGGAACAGAAGCGTGAGTTTCTGACGGTTACAGCGACTTTAGAAGAAGTGTCGTGTTTGTTTGATGTTGACGTGATGCACTTTACTCCAGTCACAGACGTCACTTTGGGTTTTACTGATGCATTCTGGGTATTTTTGTGGAACGTTTATAAAAGTGATGTCACATGTTTTGTTTTGGTTTGAAGAAGTTGAAAGAACTCTGAGGCTGAAGGCGGTGAGGCCAAGATCACCACTGGATCTATTAAAGCACAGGAACGTAACTTTCAAACGATAAACAGGGGACCACCCTCTCTCGGCCAATCAGTTCTCAGCCCAAAGGGTCAAACAGTGACTCACAGGGCTCTTTCTCACACTTATGCAAAGTAATAATAATGCATCACTTTCACTTGACATTTAACTACTGCTGTAGCCACAGCTGCCCTGGGACACACTGAGGCCCCTCTCACCACCACCAGCCACTCACACACACCAGACTCATTCTAATGTGGGGGAAGTGTCTTGCCTAAGGACACAACCACAGTTTGGTACTTTACAGCCGCAGCCGCCCCACTGTGGCACCTGCTGTTCCCAGAGGTCTCCCATCACAGCACTAACCAGGCCCTGCCGTGCTTAGCTTCAGAGGTCTGACAGGATCTGGATTTGTCCTGCAGGGGGCGCCACAACCAAGCAGTGGATCTTTAAGTTACATTGTCGCTTAAATCTCAGGACTTTAAAACCATAAAAAGTGAAAAAACAAAGTGAAGAAATTCTTTAAAGTCGTATTTTATGTTTTTTAGGGAATTATGAATAAACTACAAATATGTCCACATTCGTTTCATTTCAATCAATATTGTTTTTATTTCTTGATCATTGCTTAAAAACTGTCGCAGCTGAATTATATTTATTTCTTTAATGACTGAGTTTTGACTTTATCTTTAGTTAAAGTTTAAATGTTTTATTATATTTAAAGTTGTTTTTATCACTGACTATTTGCACAAAGTGTGAGGCTGAAGGAAAGAAATGTTTGTGTTTTTAAAGTTTAACAAAAAGAATTCATTTGAAAAGTCTGTTTTTTGTCTAAAAGTCGACAGTTTGATAAAGTGTGAATCTCGTGAGTTTCAAAATGTTTCTTTACAAATGATTTTTCTGCCAAACATGAAATAAATGTTCAAACTGAAAATGTGTTTATTCTGTTTTCACTGGATTTAAAGATGAGTCAATGATTTATAAACACACAGTTTTTAACAAATGAACCAGACTCAAAAATAAATCATTAAAATCAATTGTTTTCATGAAAAGTTATTATTATTGTTATTGAGTCAGATGTTCTAAAACTGACAGTTACTGATCAGAAAACCCCCAAAGGCGGGAGTGGTTTTGAGTCGGTGCTAATGCTAAGCTAACCTGAATCCTTAACTACAACTTTAAGCTAGGCGAGGTCCTTTTCTCTAAGCATTCTGGGTATTGTAGTTCAAAGACAGAGCTCTCCAGTCTCTGCTTTCACCAGGACCGACTCATTTAGTTACATAAAAATAATAAGTTTGATGATGAAATGACTCACACACAGTTTTCCATCACGTGCTTATTACCCATGATGCTTTGGGAGGTTTGGATCCATATGAAACACAGAGAGACCAGTGGACTTCAGGAGGTTTGGATCCATATGAAACACAGAGAGACCAGTGGACTTCAGGAGGTTTGGATCCATATGAAACACAGAGAGACCAGTGGACTTCAGGAGGTTTGGATCCATATGAAACACAGAGAGACCAGTGGACTTCAGGAGGTTTGGATCCATATGAAACACAGAGAGACCAGTGGACTTCAGGTGGTTTGGATCCATATGAAACACAGAGAGACCAGTGGACTTCAGGAGGTTTGGATCCATATGAAACACAGAGAGACCAGTGGACTTCAGGAGGTTTGGATTCATATGAAACACAGAGAGACCAGTGGACTTCAGGAGGTTTGGATCCATATGAAACACAGAGAGACCAGTGGACTTCAGGAGGTTTGGATCCATATGAAACACAGAGAGACCAGTGGACTTCAGGAGGTTTGGATCCATATGAAACACAGAGAGACCAGTGGACTTCAGGAGGTTTGGATCCATATGAAACACAGAGAGACCAGTAGACTTCAGGAGGTTTGGATCCATATGAAACACAGAGACCAGTGGACTTCAGGAGGTTTGGATCCATATGAAACACAGAGAGACCAGTGGACTTCAGGAGGTTTGGATCCATATGAAACACAGAGAGACCAGTGGACTTCAGGAGGTTTGGATCCATATGAAACACAGAGAGACCAGTGGACTTCAGGAGGTTTGGATCCATATGAAACACAGAGAGACCAGTGGACTTCAGGAGGTTTGGATCCATATGAAACACAGAGAGACCAGTGGACTTCAGGAGGTTTGGATCCATATGAAACACAGAGAGACCAGTGGACTTCAGGAGGTTTGGATCCATATGAAACACAGAGAGACCAGTGGACTTCAGGAGGTTTGGATTCATATGAAACACAGAGAGACCAGTGGACTTCAGGAGGTTTGGATCCATATGAAACACAGAGAGACCAGTGGACTTCAGGAGGTTTGGATCCATATGAAACACAGAGACCAGTGGACTTCAGGAGGTTTGGATCCATATGAAACACAGAGAGACCAGTGGACTTCAGGAGGTTTGGATCCATATGAAACACAGAGAGACCAGTGGACTTCAGGAGGTTTGGATCCATATGAAACACAGAGAGACCAGTGGACTTCAGGAGGTTTGGATCCATATGAAACACAGAGAGACCAGTGGACTTCAGGAGGTTTGGATCCATATGAAACACAGAGAGACCAGTGGACTTCAGGAGGTTTGGATCCATATGAAACACAGAGAGACCAGTGGACTTCAGGAGGTTTGGATCCATATGAAACACAGAGAGACCAGTGGACTTCAGGAGGTTTGGATCCATATGAAACACAGAGAGACCAGTGGACTTCAGGAGGTTTGGATCCATATGAAACACAGAGAGACCAGTGGACTTCAGGAGGTTTGGATCCATATGAAACACAGAGAGACCAGTGGACTTCAGGAGGTTTGGATCCATATGAAACACAGAGAGACCAGTGGACTTCAGGAGGTTTGGATCCATATGAAACACAGAGAGACCAGTGGACTTCAGGAGGTTTGGATCCATATGAAACACAGAGAGACCAGTGGACTTCAGGAGGTTTGGATCCATATGAAACACAGAGAGACCAGTGGACTTCAGGAGGTTTGGATCCATATGAAACACAGAGAGACCAGTGGACTTCAGGAGGTTTGGATCCATATGAAACACAGAGAGACCAGTGGACTTCAGGAGGTTTGGATCCATATGAAACACAGAGAGACCAGTGGACTTCAGGAGGTTTGGATCCATATGAAACACAGAGAGACCAGTGGACTTCAGGAGGTTTGGATCCATATGAAACACAGAGAGACCAGTGGACTTCAGGAGGTTTGGATCCATATGAAACACAGAGAGACCAGTGGACTTCAGGAGGTTTGGATCCATATGAAACACAGAGAGACCAGTGGACTTCAGGAGGTTTGGATCCATATGAAACACAGAGAGACCAGTGGACTTCAGGAGGTTTGGATCCATATGAAACACAGAGAGACCAGTGGACTTCAGGAGGTTTGGATCCATATGAAACACAGAGAGACCAGTGGACTTCAGGAGGTTTGGATCCATATGAAACACAGAGAGACCAGTGGACTTCAGGAGGTTTGGATCCATATGAAACACAGAGAGACCAGTGGACTTCAGGAGGTTTGGATCCATATGAAACACAGAGAGACCAGTGGACTTCAGGAGGTTTGGATCCATATGAAACACAGAGAGACCAGTGGACTTCAGGAGGTTTGGATCCATATGAAACACAGAGAGACCAGTGGACTTCAGGAGGTTTGGATCCATATGAAACACAGAGAGACCAGTGGACTTCAGGAGGTTTGGATCCATATGAAACACAGAGAGACCAGTGGACTTCAGGAGGTTTGGATCCATATGAAACACAGAGAGACCAGTGGACTTCAGGAGGTTTGGATCCATATGAAACACAGAGAGACCAGTGGACTTCAGGAGGTTTGGATCCATATGAAACACAGAGAGACCAGTGGACTTCAGGAGGTTTGGATCCATATGAAACACAGAGAGACCAGTGGACTTCAGGAGGTTTGGATCCATATGAAACACAGAGAGACCAGTGGACTTCAGGAGGTTTGGATCCATATGAAACACAGAGAGACCAGTGGACTTCAGGAGGTTTGGATCCATATGAAACACAGAGAGACCAGTGGACTTCAGGAGGTTTGGATCCATATGAAACACAGAGAGACCAGTGGACTTCAGGAGGTTTGGATCCATATGAAACACAGAGAGACCAGTGGACTTCAGGAGGTTTGGATCCATATGAAACACAGAGAGACCAGTGGACTTCAGGAGGTTTGGATCCATATGAAACACAGAGAGACCAGTGGACTTCAGGAGGTTTGGTCCATATGAAACACAGAGACCAGTGGACTTCAGGAGGTTTGGATCCATATGAAACACAGAGAGACCAGTGGACTTCAGGAGGTTTGGATCCATATGAAACACAGAGAGACCAGTGGACTTCAGGAGGTTTGGATCCATATGAAACACAGAGAGACCAGTGGACTTCAGGAGGTTTGGATCCATATGAAACACAGAGAGACCAGTGGACTTCAGGAGGTTTGGATCCATATGAAACACAGAGAGACCAGTGGACTTCAGGAGGTTTGGATCCATATGAAACACAGAGAGACCAGTGGACCTCAGGAGGTTTGGATCCATATGAAACACAGAGAGACCAGTGGACTTCAGGAGGTTTGGATCAAAATGAAACACAGAGAGACCAGTGGACTTCAGGAGGTTTGGATCCATATGAAACACAGAGAGACCAGTGGACTTCAGGAGGTTTGGATCCATATGAAACACAGAGAGACCAGTGGACTTCCCAGACATGGCTTACTTTCACTTAACAGTTTTACAATTAAAAAAACGTCATGATGTATATGATGCAATATTTCTTTCAATAAATATTTTATTTTGAACGAAGCAGTTGATATCACAGGCCGTAAATCACTCCCCTCCCCTCTCCTCCTCCCCCTCTCATTCATTTAGATGGGAGGCTCGAGGCGCCAGACTCAGTATCACAGTCAGATCACAGCTCTGAATATAAACCACATCTGAAATGTTACTGTAGCTTCTTAAAGCTGGACTTTAAACTGAGATCGAGCACAACTTTATAACGTTGTAAATCATTCTCTCTTTTTGCTTTTTCTCTTTTCAGCAATTCTTGGGTCTGACTGAAATCCTGTTCCAGTTTCTGCTGGAGCCAAAAGAGGTCTGTGTGTGTGTGTGTGCGTGTGTGTGTGCACTTCACTGCTTCCTCATGTTTAGTCCTGACTCTGGGACCAGCTCCTCAGAGTCCCAGCAGGAGGCCAGTACCTGTGCTCCTCAGAGTCCCAGCAGGAGGCCAGTACCTGTGCTCCTCAGAGTCCCAGCAGGAGGCCAGTCCCTGTGCTCCTCAGAGTCCCAGCAGGAGGCCAGTCCCTGTGCTCCTCAGAGTCCCAGCAGGAGGCCAGTCCCTGTGCTCCTCAGAGTCCCAGCAGGAGGCCAGTCCCTGTGCTCCTCAGAGTCCCAGCAGGAGGCCAGTCCCTGTGCTCCTCAGAGTCCCAGCAGGAGGCCAGTCCCTGTGCTCCTCAGAGTCCCAGCAGGAGGCCAGTCCCTGTGCTCCTCAGAGTCCCGGCAGGAGTCCAGTCCCTGTGCTCCTCAGAGTCCCGGCAGGAGGCCAGTCCCTGTGCTCTCAGATGGTACAGTGTGTCCCTGTGTGTGCAGACGGAGAGGTTCCTGCAGCAGTTGGTGGAGTTTGCAGCAGAACATGGACTGAGCTCTGGACCCCTCAAGAACCTCATGAAGAGTGTTCTCCTGGTGCCTCAAGGTCCTCACTCTACTCTACTCTGCTCTACTCTACTCTACTCTACTCTGCTCTGCTCTACTCTACTCTACTCTACTCTACTCTACTCTGCTCTGCTCTGCTCTGCTCTACTCTACTCTACTCTGCTCTGCTCTGCTCTGCTCTACTCTACTCTACTCTACTCTACTCTACTCTACTCTGCTCTGCTCTGCTCTGCTCTGCTCTGCTCTGCTCTACTCTACTCTACTCTACTCTACTCTACTCTACTCTACTCTACTCTACTCTACTCTGCTCTGCTCTGCTCTGCTCTGCTCTGCTCTGCTCTGCTCTGCTTTACTCTGCTCTGCTCTGCTCTGCTCTGCTCTACTCTACTCTACTCTGCTCTGCTCTGCTCTGCTCTGCTCTGCTCTGCTCTGCTCTGCTTTACTCTGCTCTGCTCTGCTCTGCTCTACTCTACTCTACTCTACTCTACTCTACTCTACTCTACTCTACTCTGCTCTGCTCTGCTCTGCTCTGCTCTGCTCTACTCTACTCTACTCTACTCTACTCTACTCTACTCTACTCTACTCTACTCTACTCTACTCTACTCTACTCTACTCTACTCTACTCTACTCTGCTCTGCTCTGCTCTGCTCTACTCTGCTCTGCTCTGCTCTGCTCTGCTTTACTCTGCTCTGCTCTACTCTACTCTACTCTACTCTTCTCTACTCTGCTCTGCTCTGCTCTGCTCTGCTCTGCTTTACTCTGCTCTGCTCTACTCTACTCTACTCTACTCTACTCTACTCTGCTCTGCTCTACTCTGCTCTGCTCTACTCTACTCTACTCTACTCTACTCTACTCTACTCTACTCTGCTCTGCTTTACTCTGCTCTGCTCTGCTCTACTCTACTCTACTCTACTCTACTCTACTCTACTCTACTCTACTCTACTCTACTCTACTCTACTCTACTCTACTCTACTCTGCTCTGCTTTACTCTGCTCTGCTCTGCTTTACTCTGCTCTGCTCTGCTCTGCTCTGCTCTACTCTACTCTGTTCTATCAATAATATAATAATAATAATATAATAATAATATAATAATAATAATAATATAATAATGATAATAATAATAATAATATAATAATGATAATAATAATAATAATATAGCTCACCAGAGGATTTAGAAATGAACAAATCAATTAATATTTAATTTGTATGATTCATATTTATTATTGTATTTTGTCACTTCTTTCCAAACACACATGTTGTACAGGTCCTTCATTTGCTGAGTGGGCAGTGTTTTCTGCTGAAGAATACTATAATGTTGTAAGGCCCAAAATAAAGTGTTCAGATGAACTGGTCCATGGCTCCTCCCACAGGCCTTTATGGTTCAGTGATGTACTTTTATATCTGTGCCATAAGTTCATGTTTGATGGTATCATGTGTTTGTGTTTCCTTCAGGAGCCATGAAGAAGAATCTGTCCGAAGAACAGATCACAGACGACCTCCTCACTTTAGGTCAGTGTTTTTAGGGCCACAGTGGCTCAGTGTGTAGAGGCCTTTGAGACAGAAGGTCGTGGGTTCGAGCCCAACTCAAGACTTTCTCCATCGACTGTCTGCTGTCGTTGTGTCCTTGGGCAAGATACTTAACCTCTGGGAATACCAGGTGCCACAGTGGAGCGGCTGTAAAGTGCCAAACTGTGGTCGTGTCCTTAGGCAAGACACTTTACCCCCATTGTGTGTTTGGATCACTCACTTTGGTCCAAACCTCTGTCTGTTTCAGGACTGAGTGCAGAGAAGGCGGCTCACTTCTCTCTGCAGGTACATGATCGTTACATGTTTATATATTTGTGTTTTTATATATTTGTATATCTGACCCTGCTGAGTCTGCTCTGGTCCACAGTGGAGGGAACATGCCGCGGCTCTGTCCAGACTCGCTCTGACACAGACTCTGACGGTCAATCAGCTCCTGGACCTGGAGTGGAAGTTTGGAGGTAAACACACGTATATGATCCAGGACTGAGGCTGTAGACCCAGGACTGAGGCTGTAGACCCAGGACTGAGACTGTAGACCCAGGACCGAGACTGTAGACCCAGGACTGAGGCTGTAGACCCAGGACTGAGACTGTAGACCCAGGACTGAGGCTGTAGACCCAGGACTGAGGCTGTAGACCCAGGACTGAGGCCGTAGACCCAGGACTGAGGCTGTAGACCCAGGACTGAGGCTGCAACAGGAGGAAAAGGAGTGAATATATACCTGTAGAGAAGGTGGAGCAGGTTTATCGCCTCTGAGGCTCCTTCCACCTGTCAACAGACTGATGATGACGATGATGAGGAAGACTGAGTGATGGATTGGACGTGTTTTGCCTCAGCACGTTCTAAACAAGTCTAACCTCTTTTCTCTCAGTGACGGTTGGAACCAGTGAGATCCACAAAGTCGGGAACATATTTTTACAGGTAAGATCAGATGTTCCTTTATGGTCCCACAGAGAAGGAAATAAACAGTCGATTAGTTATGATCATAGATCATAAATAATCGACTATTAGGCACTGTATATATATATATATATATATATATATATACAGTGCCTTGCGAAAGTATTTGGCCCCCATTGAACCTTTCAACATTTTGCCACATTTCAGGCTTCAAACATAAAGATATAAATTTAAATGTTTTGTCATGAATCAACAACAAGTGGGACACAATCGTGAAGTGGAACCAAATTTATTGGATAATTTAAACTTTTTTAACAAATTAAAAACTGAAAAGTGGGGCGTGCAATATTATTGGGCCCCTTTACTTTCAGTGCAGCAAACTCAGTCCAGAAGTTCAGTGAGGATCTTTGAATGATCCAATGTTGTCCTAAATGACTGATGATGATAAATAGAATGCACCTGTGTGTAATCAAGTCTCTGTATAAATGCACCTGCTCTTTGATAGTCTCAGGGTTCTGTTCTGGATATGAAATAGACGTATCCAGGTGTTAGAATGGCCAAGTCAAAGTCCAGACCTGAATCCAATCGAGAATCTGTGGAAAGAGCTGAAGACTGCTGTTCACAAACGCTCTCCATCCAACCTCACTGAGCTCCAGCTGTTTTGCAAGGAAGAATGGGAAAGAATTCCAGTCTCTCGATGTGCAAAACTGATCGAGACATACCCCAAGAGACTTGCAGCTGTAATTACAGCAAAAGGTGGCGCTACAAAGTATTAGCGCAAGGGGCCGAATAATATTGCACGCCCCACTTTTCAGTTTTATATTTGTTAAAAAAGTTTAAATTATCCAATAAATTTCATTCCACTTCACGATTGTGTCCCACTTGTTGTTGATTCTTGACAATTTTTTTTAATATCTTTATGTTTGAAGCCTGAAATGTGGCAAAATGTTGAAAGTAAGTAAGTAAGCTTTATTTATATACCGCCTTTCACAGACCAGAGTCACAAAGCGGTTTACAATTGTTATTATTTTTGGGCACTTGTCTCTCACTCCACACAGAGATGGGAGCGGGGTCGCCGAACAGGAGGCGCATGCCAGAACTATTGTACATATTTTTAGTGGTAGGGGAAACCGGAGTACCCGGAGGAAACCTACGCAGGCACGGGGAGAACATGCAAACTCCACTCAGAAAGGCCCTGGTCGGGATGCGAACCCAGGACCTTCTTGCTGAGAGGCGAGAGTGCTATCCACTCAGCCACCGTGCCGCCAAGAAAGGTTCCAGGGGGCCGAATACTTTCGCAAGGCACTGTAATATATATATATATATATATATATATAAACTGTATATATACATATACAGTGCCTTGCGAAAGTATTCGGCCCCCTTGAACCTTTCAAAATTTTGCCACATTTCAGGCTTCAAACATAAAGATATAAAAAAAATATTTTTTGTCATGAATCAACAACAAGTGGGACACAATCGTGAAGTGGAACAAAATTTATTGGATAATTTAAACTTTTTTAACAAATAAAAACTGAAAAGTAGGGCGTGCAATATTATTGGGCCCCTTTACTTTCAGTGCAGCAAACTCAGTCCAGAAGTTCAGTGAGGATCTTTGAATGATCCAATGTTGTCCTAAATGACTGATGATGATAAATAGAATGTACCTGTGTGTAATCAAGTCTCCGTATAAATGCACCTGCTCTTTGATAGTCTCAGGGTTCTGTTTAAAGCACAGAGAGAACCATGAAGACAAAGGAACACACCAGGCAGGTCCGAGATACTGTTGTGGAGAAGTTTAAAGCCGGATTTGGATACAAAAAGATTTCCCAAGCTTTAAACATCTCAAGGAGCACTGTGCAAGCAATTATATTGAAATGGAAGGAGTATCAGACCACTGCAAATCTACCAAGACCCGGCCGTCCCTCCAAACTTTCATCTCAAACAAGGAGAAGACTGATCAGAGATGCAGCCAAGAGGCCCATGATCACTCTGGATGAACTGCAGATAACTACAGCTGAGGTGGGAGAGTCTGTCCATAGGACAACAATCAGTCGTGCACTGCACAAATCTGGCCTTTATGGAAGAGTGGCAAGAAGAAAGCCATTTCTCAAAGATATCCATAAAAGTCTGGTTTAAAGTTTGCCACAAGCCACCTGGGAGACACACCAAACATGTGGAAGAAGGTGCTCTGGTCAGATGAAACCAAAATCAAACTTTTTGGCCACAATGCAAAACAATATGTTTGGCGTAAAAGCAACACAGCTCATCACCCTGAACACACCATCCCCACTGTCAAACATGGTGGTGGCAGCATCATGCTTTGGGCCTGCTTTTCTTCAGCAGGGACAGGGAAGATGGCTAAAATTGATGGGAAGATGGATGGAGCCAAATACAGGACCATTCTGGAAGAAAACCTGTTGGAGTCTGCAAAAGACCTGAGACTGGGACGGAGATTTATCTTCCAACAGGACAATGATCCGAAACATAAAGCCAAATCTACAATGGAATGGTTCACAAATAGACGTATCCAGGTGTTAGAATGGCCAAGTCAAAGTCCAGACCTGAATCCAATCCAGAATCTGTGGAAAGAGCTGAAGACTGCTGTTCACAAACGCTCTCCATCCAACCTCACTGAGCTCCAGCTGTTTTGCAAGGAAGAATGGGCAAGAATTCCAGTCTCTCGATGTGCAAAACTGATAGAGACATACCCCAAAGGACTTGCAGCTGTAATTGCAGCAAAAGGTGGCGCTACAAAGTATTAGCGCAAGGGGGCCGAATAATATTGCACGCCCCACTTTTCAGTTTTTTATTTGTTAAAAAAGTTTAAATTATCCAATAAATTTGGTTCTACTTCACGATTGTGTCCCACTTGTTGTTGATTCTTGACAAAAATAATTATTTTTATATCTTTATGTTTGAAGCCTGAAATGTGGCGAAAGGTTCAAGGGGGCCGAATACTTTCGCAAGGCACTGTATACATATATATATATATATATATATATATATATATATGTTTAAATATACAACGCAGAAATGAATCTGTTGTTTCACTGCAGTTGAAGCTGGTGATGCGGAAAGGAACCTCCACTGAGAACGTTTATATGGGTGAGTGTGTATGAGTGTGTGTGTGCGTGTGTGTGTGTGTGTGCAGGCGTCTGTTTGTCTGTGTGCTTCTCTCTCTGTGTCTCTCTCTGGCTCTCTTGGATGTGAAAGCCAGATCAGACGTCTGAAGCTAAGCAGGACAGGGTCTGGTTAGTGGTGTGATGGGAGACCTCTGGGAACAGCAGGTGCCACAGTGGGGCGGCTGCGGCTGTAAAGTGCCAAACTGTGGTTGTGTCCTTAGGCAAGACACTTCCCCCACATTAGAATGAGTCCGGTGTGTGTGTGAATGGTGGTGGTGGGAGGGGCCGATGGCACAGACTGGTTGACTCGCTTCTGTCAGTGTGCCCCAGGGCAGCTGTGGCTACAGTAGTTTATCACCACAGTGTTTGGAGAGAGAGAATAATGACAGACTTTCAGAGTCCAAAAGAGTCCAAAGAAAGAAAGGACTATATTAGAAAAATGATTGCATTATTATATTTATTGACTGCTGTAGGTTGTGGGACACGGCGGCTGTGGCAGAACAACTTTAACCCCATGTCGCTCGTCTTTCTGCTGAGCTTCATTGAGCTAATGAGCTAACGGTTAGCATTGTCCTTCTGTTTACAGTCTGTAAGAGGATACAGCCTGAGGGTCGTTAGCTGCCATAATATATCTTTCATTTCAACAGGTTTCACAATCGTGTGTCTGTGTGTGTGTGTGTGTGTGTGTGTCTGTGTGTGTGTGTGTGTCTGTGTGTGTGTCTGTCTGTGTGTGTGTGTGTCTGTGTGTGTGTGTGGTTCTCTGTGTGTGTGTGTGTGTGTGTGTGTGTGTGTGTAACCGTCCTGTTGTGTGTGTAACCGTCCTGTTGTGTGTGTTGCAGAGCTCACACTTCCTCAGTTTTACAACTTCCTGCATGAGTTGGAACGAGCCAAAGCCAGTATGGACTGTTTCTCCTGAGCCTCTGGACCAGAAGCAAAGACTATTTTCTAAAAAACTGATCAAAAAGATTTAGAGGAGAATTTTTCTGTAGAATGATAGTTTTTACCTTTATCATAAGCAAAGATATGTGTCTAACTGATGAAGAATCCTCTGTGACATCACCCGTCACAACATGAAGCCGTGTCATTTCCCACTTCTGCCACTAGAGGGAGATGTTTGTTTGTATTTTCATGTTTATTCCATATCCATGTAATCTCTACTTAAAGGGGACATACCATGATGTGAATCAGTGACCCGCGTGGCTCTTCATTAGATATGTTTATGCAAACTGTTAAGATTGAGCTCACGCTGTGTCAAACCGGTCCTCAAGTTTTCTTTCCAACCAAGCAGGAGCACAACAGACTCCACCCATTTCCTCAGGTGAGTCCAGACCCGAGGAAGTGGGTGGAGTCTGCTGTGCTCCTGCTTGGTTGGTCGGAATGAAAACCTGCAGCCACACGGCTCTTCAAGGGCCGAGTAGAATACCCCTGTTATAGAAGAACTAGTTGTGTAGCCCCGCCCTCTCGCCTCTCATAGCCCCGCCCCTTTAACGGACACAGCTCTTCCACACACGTGTTGAAGATACCATTCAAAATATAGATTCATTTTTTACAGACTTCACGGATTTATTAAAGAAAATGGCCAAAAGCTGTGAGAAAAAGTCGGGGGAGGGGCTTGGTGCGGTGATCAGACAGAGGACTGAGAGGAGAGCCGCGTATGGAGCTATTATTGTTTCAATAATATTTGTGTGTGCGTAAAAAGATTTGTGCGTGCGTAACCAGATTTGTGTGTGCGTAACTAGATTTGTGTGTGCGTAACCAGATTTGTGTGTACGTAAAAAGATTTGTGCATGCGTAACCAGATTTGTGTGTGTGTAAAAGAAATATTTGTGCGTGTGTAGATAGATTTGTATGCGTATCAAGATTTGTGTGTGCGTAAAAAGATTTGTGTGTGTGTAAAGAAAAAAAAAGTACGTTTTACACACAAGTTTTTTTTTTACACACAAATCTTTTGACGCAGTCCTGCCTTCGCAGATTCGCAAGTGTAACTTGGACTGTGTGTGTGCGTAAACAGATTTGTGTGTGTGTAATTTGACATTAATATCTGTAACAGAACAATCTGTGTGTAAATAACCACGTTGTACGAAGCGAAGAACGAAAAAAGCCTAAGAGCGAAGCACAGGCTCTGTTTTACACACGAATCTCTTTTTGACACACCTCTGCCGCTTAGCGTGTGTCAAAAAGATTCGTAAGTGTAATGTGGTTGTTCTAGCAGTACACCAGCAGGTGGTGCTGTTGTAGCTGGTTATACACGCAAGCAAACCAGCTGAGTTTGTGGCACTATAGTGTAGATAGAGAAAACCGAAGGATTTAAGAAGAAGAAAAGTTCAGGATGACAAGGAACACTAAAATTCCCACAAAATCCGACCTTTATGAAAGCTGTAGGTTATCTGTCAGCTGTTTTAGTTTACTTTGAGTTCTATGGGGAAAATGTCTGTGTAGCCCACGTGAATTAAGGCTATATCCACACGAAGACAAAACGCTTATAATTTCAGAAACTTTTTCTGTAAACACGGAGTTAGCTCAGTAAATGTGTGCGTCCATATGAATGTAGTCAATACGCCTGAAAACGCTGTGAAACTATGCCAGACCTGTTGGTGGCGCTGTGACGCAATGACGGGATCAAGCCTGAGGCTTTTTTCGTTCTTCTCTTCGTACAGCGTGGTTATTTACACACAGATCGTTCTGCTACAGATACAAATGTCAAATTACACACACACAAATCTGGGTACAGACGCACACAGCCCAAGTTACACTTGCGAATCTGCGAAGGCAGGACTGCGTCAAAAGATTCGTGTGTAAAAAAAAAAACTTGTGTGTAAAACGTACTTTTTTTTTTCTTTACACACACACAAATCTGGTTACGCGCACACAAATATTATTGAAACAATAGCCGCGGCGGTGCGGGAGGATGAGGATGTGAATAACCGAAACAGGCAGGACTCGTGCTAAAAACAGTGTCGTGGAAAAGACGAGAAACAAAACTAAAACATGAACAGAAGCTGAAAAGATCCATTTTCAGTTTTTGTCTTTTTAAAATAATAAACACAAATAATATGTTAATAATGCGTCGTGTGTTTAGTTTTGGAGCTTCTCATGTTTATCTTGTTTTTCTATCTGTGCTGATGATCTGATTGGACGAGGAGATGTGGATGATGGACCTGGGCAAAGTTGTTTGTGTGTGTGTGTGTGCGCGTGTGTGTGTGTGTGTGTGTGTGTGTGTGTGTGTGTGCGCGCGTGTGTGTGTGTGCACGTGTGTGGGTGGGTGAGTGAGAGGTTTGGGCTAATATAAACATAATGCTTCATCCAACCCCTTTTCAAACCTTGAACATGTGACTGAACATTTGTAAAATGTGTTTCCTGTGCAGGTTTTGAAATAAATAATTCCATTCAACTGTTTTTACTGAAGTAGTAGGATGTGGAACCATGAAGGAATCATGAAGGAACCATGAAGGAACCATGAAACTGGATCATCACAAAGAAGAAGGTCAGGTGTATTCTACTGGTATCATTATGCAGCAGCTCCATGACTGAGCACAGGGACTGGCCTCCTGCTGGGACTCTGAGGAGCACAGGGACTGGCCTCCTGCTGGGACTCTGAGGAGCACAGGGACTGGTCTCCTGCTGGGACTCTGAGGAGCACAGGGACTGGACTCCTGCTGGGACTCTGAGGAGCACAGGGACTGGCCTCCTGCTGGGACTCTGAGGAGCACAGGGACTGGACTCCTGCTGGGACTCTGAGGAGCACAGGGACTGGACTCCTGCTGGGACTCTGAGGAGCACAGGGACTGGACTCCTGCTGGGACTCTGAGGACCACAGGGACTGGCCTCCTGCTGGGACTCCGAGGAGCACAGGGACTGGACTCCTGCTGTGACTCTGAGGAGCACAGGGACTGGCCTCCTGCTGGGACTCTGAGGAGCACAGGGACTGGTCTCCTGCTGGGACTCTGAGGAGCACAGGGACTGGACTCCTGCTGGGACTCTGAGGAGCACAGGGACTGGCCTCCTGCTGGTCCCAGAGTCAGGACTAAACATGAGGAGGCAGGGATTCAGATTTCTGCTAATACCTAGAACAGTCTTCCCCAAAATGTGAGACAGACTCTTCTTCTTCAGTTGTTCAGTTTCTGAACAACTGAAGGATCTGAGTTTCTTTCTGTGTGAAATGTTTTGGTTCCTTCAGTTCAAGGAAGTAACTTTATTTATTGAACAGATGGATTCCACAGGAACAGGCGGGTGGCATTTCCCTTATACACACACACACACACACACACACATACACACAGACACACACACAAACACACGCACACACAAACCCAGACAGACACACACACACACAGACACACACACACAGACACACACAGACACACACAAACACACGCACACACACTCGCACACACAAACCCAGACAGACACACACAGACACACACACACACACACAGAGACACAGACAAACGCACACATTTACGGGGAGGGCAGCTGGAACATCTGCTCTGGTAACTATGTTAAGTGTAAAAAGTCATATTCTACTCTGAGTTTGGATCTAGTTTCTCTCTCTGGTCTCTCTCTGGTCTCTCTCTCTGGTCTCTCTCTCTGGTCTCTCTCTGGTCTCTCTCTGGTCTCTCTCTCTGGTCTCTCTCTCTGGTCTCTCTCTCTGGTCTCTCTCTGGTCTCTCTCTCTGGTCTCTCTCTGGTCTCTCTCTCTGGTCTCTCTCTGGTCACTCTCTGGTCTCTCTCTGGTCTCTCTCTGGTCTCTCTCTGGTCTCTCTCTGGTCTCTCTCTCTGGTCTCTCTCTGGTCACTCTCTGGTCTCTCTCTGGTCTCTCTCTCTGGTCTCTCTCTGGTCACTCTCTGGTCTCTCTCTGGTCTCTCTCTGGTCTCTCTCTGGTCTCTCTCTCTGGTCACTCTCTGGTCTCTCTCTGGTCTCTCTCTCTGGTCTCTCTCTCTGGTCTCTCTCTGGTCACTCTGTGGTCTCTCTCTGGTCTCTCTCTGGTCTCTCTCTGGTCTCTCTCTGGTCACTCTCTGGTCTCTCTCTGGTCTCTCTCTGGTCTCTCTCTCTGGTCTCTCTCTGGTCACTCTCTGGTCTCTCTCTGGTCTCTCTCTGGTCTCTCTCTGGTCTCTCTCTCTGGTCTCTCCCTGCTCTTTCTCTGGGCTCTCTCTGGGCTCTCTCTGGGCTCTCTCTCTGGTCTCTCTCTGGTCTCTCTCTGGTCTCTCTCTCTCTGGTCTCTCTCTGGTCTCTCTGGTCTCTCTCTCTGGTCTCTCTCTGGTCTCTCTCTCTGGTCTCTCTCTCTGGTCTCTCTCTCTCTGGTCTCTCCCTGGTCTCTCCCTGGTCTCTCTCTGGTCTCTCTCTCTGGTCTCTCTCTCTGGTCTCTCTCTCTCTGGTCTCTCCCTGGTCTCTCTCTCTGGTCTCTCTCTCTGGTCTCTCTCTCTGGTCTCTCTCGGGTCTCTCTCTGGTCTCTCTTCTCTGGTCTCTCTCTCTGGTCTCTCTCTGGTCTCTCTCGGGTCTCTCTCTGGTCTCTCTCTGGTCTCTCTCTCTGGTCTCTCTCTCTGGTCTCTCTCTGGTCTCTCTCTGGTCTCTCTCTGGTCTCTCTCTCTGGTCTCTCTCTCTGGTCTCTCTCTGGTCTCTCTCTGGTCTCTCTCTGGTCTCTCTCTCTGGTCTCTCTCTGGTCTCTCTCTGGTCACAGTTAATTAGACTTCTTCTGAAACTATTTGTCTCAAGTTTCAAACGTGTGACATCATTCTCCCGCATTCAGGAAGTCAGACGGACCATTTTAATCCAGGAATCCCACATGTCTACAGTTTATTTTCCCGTGACTTGAACCGAAGACACGCTGCTTATCTCCTCTGGCATCTCGTCTGTTTCAGGGTTTTGGATCTGACATAAAAACACAACAATATCAGGTCTCATTGCTGTGAGAAAAACT